TCCGTTAATCTGAAGAGAGCAACGGGCAGGAGAACGAGAAAGCACTAGGCTTTTCGTTTTGGATGCGTTCTCACGCATACCGGTCACATCGCACTCGGCTGCGAACCTTTCCTTTTGCAAACAGCAACTTTTTCGTAATGAAATCTCCTACGTTGGTACACTCATCGCACTGACTGCTCTTGCCTATTCTGTCCGTGTACAACGCAAACAGGAGAGGCAGAAAGCAGCTTTAACGTAGATCAGTGCCTACCTTGAAAGGTCTCTACTTAACGCCATTTAATCGTACGCATCATCTGCTATTATAGCGATTGAATGGCCCGCAGCAACTGGCCATCCATCCCATATGTTCCGATGCATGCCTACAGACAGTTGCGCGGAGTCCGATGATAGGCTTTCTACAGGTCAACAACGTTCAAACCGCATCTGTGAACTCCCACGATTTCTCAACAATCTGGCGCAGGGCAAATATATGGTCAGAAGTGGTTCGACGGGGCCGGAATCCGCACTGATCTTCTTGGATCTTGACGTCAACTATTTCACGGCACCTCCTTTCTAACACCCTTGTGTAGACTTGACCTGGGAGGCTCAATAACGTAATACCCCTATAATTGGACCGTTCTTTGTGGTCTTGTTTCTTGAATACGGGTACAATAACTCCCGTTTTGCAGTCCACTGGTGTCTTACCCGCAGTCATCGCAGTTTGACCGACACGTGTAAGGTAGCACATTCCTCAGAAGTTTATGCAAGGAGTCGTATATCTTGCCATTGATCTTCAGCTGTGGCAGTACATCATTCATAAATTTTATCATGATTGACCTTTAAGGTCTCATCCCATTTGTTACTGCTGCAAGGGAAATTTTTCCCAGCAAAATCACTGTCAGTATCTTTTCACTGAAATCAAAGACCCGACTCTGAAACTAGCTGGTACAAATGATGACTTTAGGACCGACTCAGGATCAAATAGCCTCTTTAAATCGCCAAAATTACTAACCTTTTTCTATTCATTGCGGATGAAGGTCCCTGCAACTCTTTGCCATAAATTTTCGTTTTTCTGCGGTTTCCGTCCAACGTGATCCAATGAACTTCTTCAGCATATCCTTACATCGATCTCGGGATTCCTACGAGCCGATTGCTCTTATTCGGAAACTAGTCTAATCTCCTAATGGCTCTTTTGATTATTCTAGCAACGTGTCTTGTCCATTGGCATTTCACATTCATTGCTGCTTAACTGATAAAAGGTGAAAGTTA